GGGGGGGGAAACGAAAAGAAAAGATTGGCGTTGCAAACCATGGGTTTTACAGGGGGTGTGCTCTTATCACCTCCAGTAGCATCTCGGGCAGGGCTTCCTTTTTCTTTTTTTTATTTTAAAAGAGAATTCTCACCGCCTTGTTTCCTACAGTGAGAATATCAATTCACCTACCAACCTAATGACTTGCTATGTACATCCGCTGCTTATTCAACTCTCTTCCGTTAATGTATGCCGCATCTTTGTCCACACAGTTGAGGAATTACAGATGCAGCAGCAGCTGGCAATGGCGGAGAGCATCCCATCATCTGGATGCCATCAGATTAGCCCGGCTGAGGCCACGGAAATGCAGATGAGGGTGGATTTGGCTGAGAAAGAGGTCGCAGAGCTGAAGGAGCGCCTTCATGCTCTTGTTGGCAGAAGCGAGCCCTGTGGTGCTTTGTCTTCTGATCAACGGTACGATGTCTCAGATTTGGAAAGAAGGTTGCTTGGTATGGAGCGGGAGAACCAAGACCTACGATCTCGAATTTCCTCGTTGGAAGAAAAGGTATGTGATATGGACTGCGGTAAAGGACAGGCAAGAGAAGCAGGACTGTGAAGGGTTACTGCTTGTCATTTGCGCTTTATTTAATCTGCTCTTCTCTACTCTTTTTCAATGCCCCAATATAGAGAACATTGAGTGAAGAAGGTTCATGGACGCAGAATATGTTGAGTTCATTCATGTTGCAACAAGGGACATCATAATCACATTTGCCACTACCTTGAGCGCTAGGGGCATGCTTTTCCCTATGGCTCTCGTTCCATGTGGCTATTGCATACTATTCCCTAGAGCGCTTGCTCCATTTGCCTATCCCCTCCAATATCAACATGACTCCCTCTTAAAGCACCAGTTCTGCCGAAACGCGATGTGCTGGGCGGAACGGGCCGGTGGCTCCGGTCCAAATTCATTCGAGTGGAAACGCCGTGGCTCTACTTTTTGCCGCGGCCGATGTATGCGTGAAGTACTGGTGGTTCAAGAGCACGATGGTGTTTTTAACTGTTTTAACTCTTGAGCTTTTATCCTCCTCCCCCCCCMCCCCTCCCTCCCCAAAGAGCAGGACGGCTTTTTTTTTTCTCCACCTGAGCATGATATACGTAAACTATTTTTAGAGCTTATTGTGTGTAGTCTTCAGGGCTGTGGGCCAACATCCCTTCCGTTAGTTGCCTGCCTTTTGATCAGAGCACAGCGTGCTCTACCGTCTTCCACTGAATACAACGCATGTTCATTAGAGTTGTATTTTGGGAAACTTCAAGTCTAGATGGAAGGTAAAGGGATTCTTGAGCAATCTGCTGGCCCCTATGCTAGGCCATACTTTAGGCCCTGGAGCAATCTAGCTTGATATGTGAAAAGTTGAAGACGACACCATGATTTCTCGAGAAGCGACTGACTTCCTGCGGGGCATGCTTATTGTCAGATCCCTTCGGAATGGAGGGATTCGATTTGCTATGTTGGTCAGATCACACCATGCACTATGTGGAGGGATTATTCATCACTCCACTGGACCCCACGCTACTGGTAGGCAATACGTGAGGCACGGAATTAACCCATCTTGATATGAAAACAGTTGAAAGAGGTGCCATGATTTCTCCGAAAGCAACTGACTTCCATACTGGCACGCTTATGGTCAGATGACTTGTGAACAGAGGGATGCAATTTGCTATGTTTGTCAGAGCACACCATGCTTTAGGTGAAGGACAACTTTAGCAATCCGCTGAACCCTACGCACGAACGCCCGGTTAAAGTTGCCCCAAATGCAGCTAAAATGACTGGGCGTTCTATTCGGGTGAAGACGGTTGGCACTAGTTGAGTCCCTGCAGTAAGCTATCTTGAAAGAGGCACCATGATTTCTCCTGAAGCGACCAGTTTTCATCCTGGCACGCTTATGCTCAGATGACTTGTGAATGGAGGGATGCAATTTGCTATGTTGTTCAGCACACATCGTTCTCTGTGTAAAAGGGATTCTTGAGCACTCCTCTGGACCCTAAGGTAGTCAATACCTTGACTCCATGCATCTTGATATGCAGACGGTCGCTCATCTCCAAATGATTTCTTCTTAAGCGACTGATGCTCATCCTGGCACGTTTATGGTCAGATGACTTGTGAGTGGAGCGATGCAACTTGTGACTTCCGTGAATCTGTCATTGCATGATGTTCATCACAGGGAAGGACAGCAATGAATGGTGGGAATATGCACACACCAAGAACGTAAATTCTCATGTTGGAGTAGCTTCATCAAACAGGTGTAACTGGATCATGGCCCAAACATTGCCATCAGACAGCCTGCAGTCCAAGCTTTGGCCTTTACAATTAACATTGTGCCTGTATACGCCCGTAACACTAACTGCTCCCTTAATGATGTCCCCCTTGTGGCCTGCATCTTTTGATTGTTTGAGATCAGTCATCGCAAGCAAAGGCATTATCTGAAGCTTGGGCGTGCAAGAAGGCCGTCGATGCGGAGATTGAAGCTTTCCTTAAGTCAAGAGGTGTTCACACGACCGTTTCCGAGGAAAGAGGAGTGGAAGTGATGATGAGCCAAGTGGCAGCAGGCGGTCATGTCATGGGCAATGTCAGCGGAATCAATGGATGCAATCTATTGACAGGGCAGCACAGTTTTGGCGGTCGACAAGGATGGAAGGAAGCTGCTAGGCTCGCAGGAGCAGGGGAGGGATCCGGAGTTGATCCTCGCAAGTCCTTAGAATGGAAAACGGATGCAGCTCATGACGAGGCAAGCGGCAGGTGCACCTTGGATAATAAGTATGCCCGTGGTCAGACCACAAGTCCCAAGGCAGAGTGCGGAACTCAGTTGTGTGAAAATAGCAGGTATGCTTCATCCATGAACAGCAGGGAACCGGTGTCGTCCCATCCTGAGGTGGTCAAGAAGCATTGTGAGACGGTTCTGAGCTCGAGAGGATGCCAAGAGCACAAAGAGCAAGAAGGCAGCCATCGTGATGAGGAAGATGAATTCTCCCTTGATGTGCTGTCTGATGTAAGGCAACGCAGCAGGAACAGCAGCCCAGGTGTTTCCAGTAAGCCGCTGCATACATCAACCCTTGTTCCAGATGGGAAGGAAAGTGCTTGTGCGGTTCCCGAGAAAGACCTTGGTCCTGGAACTCAAGGCCCTGCTTCCTCCCACTCACTGGAGACAGAGTTGTCACCACCGTATGATGTGAGAACGATACTTGACATGGACTTGCTGCCATCCTGCGGGGTGAGAGGAGCAGCACCAGGAGCAACCTCCACAAATGCTGTGTTTCCCGACCTTTTAGACTATGCGCCTTTGCACAGTGAAATGAAAAAGGAGGATATTGCTGTCGCACCTTGTCAGGATGGGAAAGCAACTGAAGCACCGCGTACGAAGATGGATCTGGTAGATTTGTCCACTGGATATGGATCAGATGATGTTCGCCTGTCTGGTCCGTCTCCTCCGCAACGTAGAGAAGCTTGTGCGGAGGACGAAGAGAAGGATGAGGACGGAACAAGCCTGCCTCGACATGGATTCACCTTTTCATCAGACACTGACGAGGATGTTGAAGTTTGCAATGCAGAGGGAACGGATGAAAAGTGGGTGGTGAGTTCTACTTCAATCCCTCTGCAGGAAGCGGAGTGTGGCCCTCACGATGTCGTACCAGGTGCATTTGGTTCGGCAGAGTGCTCCCCCGGTTCTGACAAGCAGAGAGGGACAGGTCACAAGGAGGGTAACCATAACCATAGCCGGAATGGAGACATACAGATACCAGTGGCAGATCGCAGTCTCCAGTGCAAGCCGGAAACAGGGAAACAACCGGATACAGGACTGCACAAGACGATCGAAGGGGAAGCCAAGGAAGATTTGACCTCTAAGCCTGTAATCCACCATCAACACTGCCACGAAGCTTGTGGTGGGGCGATTGGTACTCGCCGCGAAAGCCCCAGATCAGCTAACGATTGCCATGCACGTGAGAATCCGGATCTGTCCTTGGATCATCCAGCTGTGGTAAGTGCTCGTCACAGGGCAGAGGATGATAGCGACAAAACATCGATGACAGCTATCTCGAGGGGAGGGAGTATGCCATGTGATTCAGCTAGAACTGGCAGGTTGAAACTTTTGTCTGTTGCAAGGGTGACGGCCACTACTCTGAGACAGCGACAGGCAGATAACGGAGGAAAGTCGAAGGATGCGGACGGTGATGTAGCTGATGGTTCTCCTTCTCGTTCAGAGAACACAGCGGTTCCTTCTAGTCGGGAGGAAAGTCGAAGGATGCGGACGGTGATGTGCACGGGTAAGATGACGAGCAGGAAAGAACGGAAAGAGGTGCTCTCTTCTAGTAGGGAGAGGTGGAAATCAGAAGGGAAGGAGGAGATGTGTGAGGGGTCTAACAAATCTGAAAGGAAGAATGGAGGTACAGAGAAAAAAAGGATCAGGGGTGGTGATGACAGCAGCAACATGGATGAAGAAGAGGTTGCTAAGTCTATGGATCGGCTGCTCGTGAGAGCCAGGATGGCCAGTCGAGGGAAGATCGAACTCCGGAGGAAGGATGGCAATGAGAATGGCTCGACTCATTGCGGCAGTGCTCAGCCAGGTCATAGAGAGAGCGGAGGCAGTACTGCGGGAGGAGACTATCGGGTCTTTGATGGGATTGACCGGAAGAACAAGATGAAAATGCAAATTGTGTCCACTGTTGAGATCCGAAAGGGAGGAAAGAGCAGGGAGAAAGGAAGGAGTAGCAGGAAGGCGGAGAAGAACGAGACACGCCGGGAGCGGGTTCTTCAAGTGCCAACTGCAGCTGAAGAGGCAGAGGATGAGTTGGGAAAAGTGGTTGGCAAACTTGCCGAGCTGGAGGCAAGAGCTGCTCGGGCTGCAAGCATGCTAGATGTCGGGGTTGCATCTCTTCCCAGTGAAGTTAAAAAGGCTTCCACTATTCCCCTTCAAGAGGGGGAAGAAAGAGGTAAGCGAGGTGACGCAGAGGAAACAGGACGACAAAATACGTGTGAATTTTCCCAGCAAGGAAGGATACCACTCGCAAAAGGAGTGGAAAGCACGAGAGATGAGTCGAGAGAACATTTGCGTGATCATCAGGAGATGGGTCCAGTGGCGTCGGGTGCTCGACAAGAGGAAGATGGAAGAAGACAAGATGAGACCACATACCAGGATGCCCAAGGAGGACGTGGTGGAGGGTCCGATTGCATGAGAGGATCGGTTAGAGAGTGTGGTTGCACCACTGGTGAGTTAACCCAACTGGTATAATCATGATCCTCAGATATCCTCCCCAGTGAAATCATTTCCTCTGCTTTCGACTGACTGACTGTTAACGGGGTTTTGCGTGCATCGAAGAAAAACTTAAGCCATCATAGCTGGATGAAATCTGCCAGATGCACATAGGTGGACGTTGGTTGCTGAGCGTCCCCACGTACCAACCATTCAAGGAACAGTAAAGCATTTTTGTTCTCCATCGTATGGTCATGATATGAGACAATGGAGCTATCTTGGTATTCGTTGCTGGAGTACTGATGCCTTCATGGTAGTTGAAATGGGGTGTAAGCTTGATCTTTGTGTTCTTCTACATTGATGGCATTATGAATTACAAATGGCTGTGGTGAGGAGGACCATCTCTTGGCCCGACAGTGCTCGGCCTCCTAGCAGTGCAGGGTCTACTTATTTGCTTTGTGAGGCAAGGGCCAGCAAACAGGTAGGCGTACTTGACTTTTGAACTATCGGCTCAGTGAATGAGGGTAGATGACTGAACTGAAAATGGATTCTGCCTTTGTTGGTGAGCTATGGTTAAAGTTTGGAATGGTACCAGTCTGCTGCAAAGGACTCTTGCCTGCCAAGTACCACCTAGTAGCTGTCTCTTATACACATCTAGATGTGTATAAGAGACAGACCATATCCCCACAAGTTGGCACGAACTGGGAACCGGGCCCAGCGTCCCATAACGAGTACCTTCAGAAAACTCGTCAGAAAATTTCATGAGAATGAGGCTAGGAACCTACTAGAGTGAGAGACTTGATAGAATCATTCCTAAAGTTAGAGACTTGATAAACAGGTCACGAGTTCAAATCCCCGGAACAGTATACTGTATGTATATTTAACTGTTGATGAAACAGGTTGTGAGTTGAAAACCTGACCAATGACAAAAGCTGCCCCTTAACTAAAGGGCTTGGTGATGCCGGGAGATCCTATTTATTTGTGGCCTCCTCAGGGTCTCCCTGACTCTTTTCTAACCGTTAGCCAGTTCTTGTGCTCCAGCCTACGTGGCCGACTCACGCTGGTGTTTTATAAATTACTTTTTATGATTTACTTCCGAAGAGAGGAAACTTGCTTGTTTACATGATGCCGGGAGAGTATCTGAAGCTTTTTTTAACTTCTCTTTTGCCTTTTTCCTTTAAAAAAGAGCCATGGCCTTGGGATATCAGCATCGAGCTGAACAGCCCCAGGCAATTCAGAATTATGTTGTTGTGCTCATCTGATTGCATCTGGATTCAAACCTGGGTCTGTATTTCAACAGTCCATGGGTGTACGGACTGAGGTAGGCCTGTTGTTAGAGTATGTATTGTGTACCTAGGAAGATTCTCACGCCCGGCCGGGCAGGGGGTCTGACGCCCGGGGTACCAGGGCGTGCAAAAGAAAATAAAAATAATTTTTATTTATTTATTTATTTATTTTTGTTTTCTGTGCTATCCCAGAGGACCCCAAATCCGTGCTCATTTCGTTTTTTGCGAGTTGGCTGTCAAGGGGGCGGGGGGAGAGGGGTATAAATTGGTTTTAAAGGGGCTAAAGGGGTCTAAAGGGGGGTGCCATTGTGTGATTCTGTTATTTTCTTTTTTATTTCCTTTTCTGTGAGGAATCATAATGTGGCCCTCAGCCAAAAGTCGTTTGTATTTCAATTCTACACAACATTTTTTTTTCCTGGTATTTTTTGATTTTTTTTGTTTGTTTTTTTGTGTGCTGGGCCTGCCCGGAACACTGCCCGGGGGTCATCCCCGGCCGGGCACCGGGCGTGTACCCGGGCAGAAGTTGGGTGCCTGGGCGCCTGGAAAAAAACAGCCTGGATAGACCGTTTTCCAGCAGGTGATGCTCCCCACCAATAGATTGGAGCAAAAAAATAGATTTAAAAGGGGGGGG